TCAGAAACCGTACAAGCAAGAAGAGAACAGAGTGAAATATTTAAAGTATTGCAAGAGAAAAAAGGAAACCATAAAAAAACACCAACCTAAAATTCTGTACACTGTAAAATTATCTTTCAAAAGTCAAGGAAAAAGAAATACTTTCTCAAACAAAAATTGAGGGAATTTGTTGACGGCAGATATGCCTTGCACAATAAATGTTAAAAGAAGTTCTTTAGCAACAAGGAAAATAATACAGATCAGAAACTTAGATCTATATAAGGAAAGAAATAAAGGAAAGATGGAATAAAGGTTAAAAAAAAAAAACCAAAACTTTTTTCTTATTCTTAATTGACCTAACACAGATAACAATTTGTTGAAAATAATACCAACAATGTATTCTACTACGTGTATTTATGAAAACGTCTTACATATATAGGCTTATATATAAGTGAAATGAATGACAGTAATATTGCAAGGGGCAAGAGGAAGGAATTAGAATTATAAGAATTAGAATTATTTTGTTATTATAAGGTACCCACACTACTTGTGATAGAGTGTAAGTGTAGCTGTTAAGAAAGGAGAGAAAATAGGAATAATATAAAAGTCTCAATTAAAACCACAAAGGTCAGAAAAAGAGTGGAGTACAAAAATAGAAACAAAAAACAAACGTAACAAATAGAAAACAGTAACATATATGGTAAATATTAATCTAACTATATCAGTAATCTTTTTTTTAATCCTCACCCGAGGGCATTTTTGCATTTATCTTCAGATAGAGCGGGAGGGAGAGAGGGAGGAAATAAGAGAGAGAAACATGATGTGAGAGAGACACATCAAGTGGTTGCCACCCACACGACCCCAACTGGGGCTAGGGACAAACTGCAACCGAGTTATGTGCTCTTCTTAGTGGGAACTGTACCGGGGACTCTCTAGTCCACGGGCCGATGCTCTAACTGCTGAGCCAAACCAGCCAGGTCTATCAGTAATCACTTTGAACATCAATGTTAGTCTAAAGGTACCAATTAAAAAAAAAATTGTCAGGGTGAATCAAAAAACAAGTCCCAACTTTAAATATAAAGATACATACAGGTTAAAAATAAATAGATGAGAAAATACACATCATGCTAACACATCAAAAGAAAGCAGTAGTAGCTTCAGACAAAGCAGACTTAAAAGCAAGAAAAGTTATCAGAGATAAAGAAGGGCACTGCATAATGATAGCGAGATTAATTCTCCAAGAAGGTCTAACAATCTTTGGAATGTATGTGCCTAACAACAGAGTCACAAACTACATGAGGGAAAACTGATAGAACTGCAAGAAGAAATAGATGAATCCACTACCATAAATGCGGACTTCAAAATCCCTCTCACAGAAATGTACATCTACAGACTACTTCATCAAAGAACAGCAGAATACACATTCTCCTCAAACCCACATGAACATTCACCAAGCTAAACCACATTCTGGGCCATAAAACACATCTTAATAATGAAAATAGAAATCGTATAATGTGTACTTTCAGCCCACAATGGAATTGAACTAAAAATCGGTAACAAAAAAATAAATTTAAAAAACCTCAAAATACATGGGGATTAAACACATACTTCTAAATAACACATGGGTCAAAGAAGAAATCAAGAAAAATTTAAAAATACTGTTAACTAAATAAAACTGAAAACACAACTTGTCAAAATTTGTGTAATGCAGAGAAAGCAATGCTTATAGGGAAATTATAGCACTGAATGCACATATTAGAAGAGAAACATCTAAACCAATAATCTAAGTTTCTGCTTTAGGACCCCAGAAAAGGGAAATTTAAATCCAAAGAAAACAGAAGAGTCTCCACCCAGGGTTGCTGCAGCATCTGCAGCTATTGGGCCCAACAGCCTGAAGAAAAAAAGAAAGATTTACACACAAAACAAAATAAAACAAACAGCCCCAGCCCAGATCCCAGCCCCAGCCCCAGCGGCTCAGTTGTTTGTATTGGTTGGAGCACTGCCCCATACACCAAAAGGTTGCGAGTTCAATTCCTAGTCAGGGCATATATACTTAGGATGCAGGTTTGATCCTCAGTCAGGGTGTGTGCGGGAGACAAGCAATTGGTTTTTCTCTTTCTCTCTAAAATAATAATAAAAAAATCCTTGGGTGAGGATTAAAAATAAAATTAAGCCCTGGCCGGTTTGGCTCAGCGGTTAGAGCATCCACCTGCGGTCTGGAGAGACCCGCGTTCGGTTCCCGCTAAGGGCATGTACCTCGGTTGCAGTTTGTCCCCGGCCCTGGTTGGTCGTGCGGGTGGCAGCCACTCGATGTGTCCCTTTCACATCGATGTTTCCCTCTCTCTCTCTTCCTCTCTCTCCCTCCCACTCTGTACAAAAAATGAAAAAATGTCCTCGGATGAGGATTAAAAAAAATAAATTAATTAATTAAAAAAATAAAAAATTAAATTAAAACAAACAAAAAAACACAAAAGCCAAAAATGCTTTAAAAGTCCTGAGGTGAACCTCTGAAAATGGTTCACTATTTACTTGACCCAGAAAACCCCACAAAATCTTGCATATCAAGAGGTTCAAATCTTCATGTTCACTTTAAGAACACTCATGAAACAGCCTAGGCCATCAAGGATATGTATATCCAAAAAGCCACCAAACATTTGAAGACTTATCACTTTACAGAAATAACATGTGCCATACTATTGTTACAATGAAGTTGGTAGGTATGCCAATGCCAAAGAGTGGGGCTGGACGCAGGGTCAGTGGCCCAAAAAGAGTGCTAAATTTTTGCTGCCATGTTTAAACATGCAGAGAGTAATGCTGAACTTAAAGGTTATTGAACACATGCAAGTGAACAAAGCTTCCAGATGCAGAACTTACAAGAGTTCAGGGGTGGATTAACCCATACAAGAACTCTCTCTGCCAAATTAAGAGGATCCTTACTGAAAAAAGAGCAGACTGTTCCTAAATCAGGAGAGTTTACATAGAAGAAAAACATATCCCAGAAGAAACTAGTGAAATAGAAACTTATGACCTGGGAGTAAACTCAGCATAAATAAATGCAGTAGTAAAAGAAAGAAGAATTAGAGCAGGCCCTGGCAGGGTCGTAGGTTTGATCCCAGGTCAACGGCATGTACTTTGGTTGCAGGTTCGATCCCTAGCCCTAGTCAGTGATGCACGCAGGAGGTAACCAATTGATCTGTCTCTCTCACATTTCTCTTTCTCTCTCCCTCCTCCTCCCTCCTTGCCTCCCTTCCACTCTCTCTTGGGGAAAAAAAAAAAAAAAAAAATCAATGGAAAAAAGATCCTCAGGTGAGGATTTAAAAAAAAGATAATTAGAACAGAAATTAACAAAATTGAAAACAGAAACTCAATAGAGAAAAATCAATGAAACCCAAAACTGGTTTCTCAAAGTCAAATCCTCTGAAAGATCAACAAAATCAATGTCTCTAGCCAAGCTAAGAAAATGGACTCAAATACTATTATCAGAAATGAAAGAAAAAAATATCACCACAGATTCCATGAATATTTTATTTAAAAAATAAAAGAATACCATGAACAACTCTATGTCCACAAATTTGATAATCTAAATGAAATGAACCAATTCCTGAAAGAAAAAATATGCCAAAATTCATGCAAGAAATAGACAATCTGAATAGGCCTATATCTATTTAAATATCGAATAATTAATTAATAACCTTCTAAAACGGAAAGCACCAGGCCAAAGTGGGTTCACTGGTGAATTCTACCAAATATTTAAGAAGAAATTATACCAGTTCTCTATAATCTTTCAGAAAACAGAAACAAAGGGAATACGTCCTAACTCATTCTATGAGGCCAGCATTATCCTAATCCCCAAACTAAAGACATTACAAAAAAACTCCAGACTAATACCTCTTATGAACACAAATGCAAAAATCTGCAACACAATATTAGCAAATCAAATATAACAATGTATATTAAGAATTATATAAAATCTGGTTCAACAGTTGGAAAGTGATTAATGTAATTCATGACATCAAAAGGTCAAAGGAGCCCTGGCCGGTTTGGCTCAGCGGTTAGAGCGTCGGCCTGCGGTCCTGAGAGACCCGGGTTCGGTTCCCGCTAAGGGCATGTACCTCGGTTGCAGTTTGTCCCCGGCCCTGGTTGGTCGTGCGGGTAGCAGCCACTCAATGTGTCCCTTCACGTCGATGTTTCTCTCTCTCTCTCTCCCTTCCTCTCTTTCCCTCCCACTCTATCTGTACAAAAAATGGGAAAATGTCCTCGGGCGAGGATAAAAAAAAAAAAAAAAAAAAAAAAAGGTCAAAGGAAAAAGATAATGTAATTGTATCAATAGGTACAGATAAAAGCATCTAATAAAACTCAACATCCATTCATGATAAAATGTCTCAGCAAACTAACAAAAGTAGAATTTCCTCAACTTGATAATAATATATATTTTAAAAATCTCTAGCAACATTATAGTTAATAGTGACACTTGAAGCTTTCCACTAAGATCAGGAACAAGGCAAGATGTCCTTTCTCAACACTTCTTTTCAATATCGTACTGGAAGTACTAGTTAATACAAAAAGACAAGAAATGGAAATAAAAGGTATACAGACTGGTAAGGAAGAAATAACTTGGTAATGGCAAAACAGTGCTAATTTTGCAAACAAAATCCCAAGACAATAAACCACATTTCAACCTCTTTAGTATTTCTGACCCTTCTCCCTCATCAAAAAAAGAAAATCAGTGGCTTGTTTTTTGATAGCCTCTTTTTTGGAGCTATGACTTATAAAGTAAAAGATAATATCATCATCTGTAAAATGGACATAGCAGAATTATTGTCAATTTTTTTTTACACATACAACATATACATAAAGGAGAGAGAAAACAGTATCTAGCATATTTTTAAACATTAATTATTACTAAATTTATTATGGGATCTTGGTATGAAACTATAAATGATAAGACAGATGTGTACAATGTACAGCATTTCAGCAGAAAGTTTGGGTATTAATGATAGAAAAAATTAAATGTCACTTACCCATAAGTAGTATGTGAACTGAAGTGCAAAAATAGCGATGCCTTCATTATCAAAGGATCCAGCTACTGACCGAGAAATGTAACCTGGTACAATAGCAATAAAACAAGCAGCTAGAAGTCCTGCTCCTTGGTTCCAAAGTTCTCTGGTAAGCAGGAAAGTAGATATAGATGTAAGGCCGCTAAAAGTTGGTGCAAGGAACACACATACATCTCTTATGTGAACTGTTATGTTCAATGTATTTAAAATCCAATGGATAAGGCCAGCTGTTATCATCAACCCTGGGTAAACCTAGGAAGAAAAAAAATGAAAAATTTAATTACATATAAAATGAGGCAGCTTAAAACATTAACATAAGTTCTTTATTATTACATATTATTTATAGTAAGTTTGAAAATTAGATCTCAAAACAGTTTGCCTTCCTCACACACTTCAAATTAAATGTACTTTTTGATTGGATACAAAGAAAAAGCTCATATATGTAGAGATATATATTTAAATAAAAGAAAATCAGACAGAATGATTATTATTAACACAAAATGATTTTCAATAGAAAACTGTGGGTAACTTTCTTAATAATTCCACGATTTTTTCACTATAAAACAGAAACCAAGTCCAAATTAGCCAAGTTTAGGGTTTTAACTAGCTCCTAATTTTGCCCATACTTGTGTGTGTATACAAGGAATGAGAAAAGGAGAGAAGATGAAGTAATGTGCAGTATTATTTAAGTGGTATCTATAAATGATTCTTTCCTCCTTTCAAAGCCAAGATTTGGAAAGTACACAATTCTAGCTAACAAATGAAGGACTGATCAGTCTGTGAATTCAAAGATCATATTTTGGGACTTCTAGAAGGTTGATCATTTTTCTACCACGTAAAATGAACAGTCGTACTCCTCAACTTCACTCTAAACAAGGAACATAAACATTAAGAGGATTCAAAGTAAAGTAAATAGAGCATTTTTGAGCTATTCATCAGTGATTAAAATGTGTATTTACATTTCTGCCCTTAACTAAATCCTAAAAGATTTTTTTCTCTCTATCACTAAAGCTACAAAGAATGTCATCAATTTCCTTTCCTAGCTATACTATTTTAAACAGCAAATTCCCCAAGGTCTTTAACCCACTCCCTTGCTTTTTTTCCAACACTTATCACCATTTCACATACTACTTACTTTGTTAACTAATATCCTCACAAGAATATAAGCTCCAGGAAAGCAGAAAAAATTTCCCCAACACCCAAAACAATGATTGGCACAAAATGGATACTCAATACCTACTGAATGGAATGAAGGAAGAGGGGGAGGAAAAAAGTGTGGTAGTCATCAACATTCTTGTTTTGTTTTGTTAATCCTAACCCAAAGATATTTTTCCACTGATTTTTAGAGAGAGTGGGAGGGAGGGAGAAAGGGAGGGGGAACACTGCTGTGAGAAAGAAACATGGATTGGTTGCCTCCCACATGACCCCGAATGGGGCTGGGGATCAAACCCCAGGTACGTGCCCTTGACCAGAATTGAACCTGTGACCCATTGGTCCCTGGAGCGACGCTCTAACCACTGAACAAAACTGGCCAGGGCTCATCATTCTTAAAAATTAAAGTTTTGCTTCATTTCACATATAGTACCAGGTCCCAGAGCTTGATTTTTGTCAGTCATAGTCAATGAACATGAAAATGTCTCTAAAGGTAAGTTAATATATCCATGATAATATGGCAGACTGAGCTGACACTAAATACAGCCAAAATACATAGAAATACTGATTGAAAATACAAAAACAAACAAACAAACAAACACCCTAACCAAACAACAAAAACTCTATCCCCAAACAAAAAAGGCATATTTAAGCTTTAAAATAAAAGAGATGCCAAAAATAAAGAGGAAGTTCAAAGTAGAAACTGATGCCAGAGGAGTCCAAAAAAAAAGAGGGGGAAAACAGACACTCCAGGTCTGATATATACCTGAAGGACTAGAAGTTGGGGGATTATCACTGAACACATATCAGAAAAAGGCCTAACTCCCAGCACAAAAGCCAAGGCCTATTTGTGAAACTAGACTAGACAAATTCTTCCCATTCATTAAGTATGGAAAGCAGTAAGAAAAGTTTCGCCTTATTTCCAAAGCTTTGACTAGAAAACAAATGAGAAATAAGAAACTCATTTAGCACATGTGTGAATATGGGTTCCACCTTTATAACAACTTCAGGTATAAGAAATCTCAAGCTAACAAATGACCACTAAAAATTATTCTTTAAAAAGTGAAACCCCTAAGGGCTCCAGCATAGGCAAAAGAGAAAGATTATTACAGTAATAGTCCCAAATACCAGGATACCAAGAGTCTCTGAAAACAAGTCTCCAGGTGGATGAATTAAAGATACAAAGTTAAATACAACAGGAAACAAACTAGTGTCATCAAATACTAATACAAAAACGTGTCTGACAAGATTAGCATCACAAGAAGTGCAGATAATAGCCATTTACCACATTTATTTACCAGTCAATATTTTTCTAATTTGCTCTGGAAATCATCATGACTACTTTCCTTGCATCTTTATCTCTATTTTTTTTATCCTCACCCGAGGACACCTTTTTTTTGCATTTATCTTCAGATAGAGCAGGAGGCAGAGAGGGAGGAAGAGAGAGAGAGAAACATCGATATGAGAACTGGGGCTGGGGACAAACTGCAACTGAGGTACATGCCCTTAGCGGAAACCAAACCCAGGTCTCTCTGGTCTGCGGGCCGACACTCTAACAGCTGAGCCAAACCGACCAGGGCTCTTTATAGCTATTTAAATCAAGGATAAGAAGATGCCTCAACTTGGAAACACAACATCTTACTATCACAGAAAACATATATTCTTTCCAAACACAGAGGGAACATGAAATAAAAATACAGAATTTTTCTCTAAACAAAATATATTTGAAATATAAATCAAAACAAGATAAAAAATCCTCTTATACTTAGAAGGTAAATACAATTCTAACTAACCCATGAATCAAGAAATTATAATGAAAATACTACATATCGAACTTACACAATTCAGCTAAAACAACTATTATTGGGAAATTTATAGTTTTAATATGAATACATTAATAACAAAAAAGTTTAGAAATTGTTGAGCAAACTTTATCAGAAAGTCAGAAATAAAATGAGAATAAACTTAAGAATGTGGGAGATAGAAAATAAGCTGAAATTAATACAATAGAAGACAAACATTTAATAGAGATAATCAACAACGTCAAAGTTTCTTTGGGTTAAGAAATCTAATAAAATTGATAAACTTCTGACCAAAATAATCCAAAAAAGCCAATACTAAAAATATGTCTCCCCAATAGGTGTCTTGTCTCTCACTTTCTCTTCGATATTCTCCTTACATCACAAATACTAAAAATACTTTCCCTTATGCCATCTTCTTAATATAATCCCCCATGAATTATGATTGATACTTAATTACCTGGAGTAATTTAGGATAGATCTGGGACAAAAACACACAAATAACGTAAACTAAGGATGCACTGTAATAAAAGATCCCCTAACCCAAAAACGTGTGTGTGTGTGGGGAGGGGATAGTGTCAAAAAGAGATTTAGAAAATTAAATACTGGCTAATCAGCCACAGAAAATTGTATTAGTTAATTTTAAAAAATTCTCATCATCTTAGCAGTTTATGATTTACTCAAATAACTATAAAGTTTTATGATAGGAACATAAATAACTGCAAATATACTTACAGTACCACCTACTATTCTTCCTAGTGGATACCATGCTCTTTCATCAAACCAATTTAAAAATTCATAGAACCCATGAGACGCAAGATGATGTGTTGATCTATAGTTAAACCTAGAGAAAACAGGAAAAAAAAGAAATGTTACAAGACTGCTTACTAGAAAGAAATAGCTCTTTCTAATATTACACTTTAACTATAAGTGTATTTACAGTTAACTCTATGGCTACATAAATATATCTTTAAGGGCAATTTTCCTCAAACTTGAATAACAAATGATTTTCCAAGAAACAGGTTTATTCCTCTAATATAACTAAAAGCAAAGTGCCCACCCCATACACTACCAACCTAGTTATGCTCAATGTTTACAAAACTACTACTGCTCAAATTAACATCTGACCATTGCTTGGGGTACAAATAGTAGACAGATGCATTTGAATTTAAAAAAGGGTGAGAGTACATACAATTCACCAAATGGTCAAAGAAGTCAATGGCTCTCAAAATATTAAGTACTGGCAGAAGACAGCATCAAAATGAAAGGAGCTACAACCCTAAAAAGTATAGGCTAAAGAATGTATCACAATAGCACTAAAGCCATAAGAATAAACTAAAATAGTACTGTATAACAGCAACAGAAGACACAGGCAAATAGGAAGAAATGAAATTGAAGAAACCATAGCCCAAATCACAAGCAGAAAACTACAAACCATGTTTCATTTAAAGCAGCTACGTGGGTCAGAAGAGAATCCTTCAGAAATCCTCAGAGCAAGGCATTAGGAACAGCCAGCCACGCAGGTGTATCCCCTTCCCCTACCACTGCCAAGTAAGTGTCTGCACTACATATGTTGACAAGTGAGTCAAAAGAGCAGAACAATACTGGACAGAAAGAACATGAATAGGAAATCCTCATATCCAATACTAGTTTGATATATCTTTCCCAGCAGCAAGTCACGATTCTCCTTCCCACAATCACTAGATACAATGATTGGCATTGTTGCCTTTTTAGACAGACTTGATTTTTTTTTTAAAAAAGGCACCCAGTCAAAAATCAAACATTTGAGAAAAATTAGCAACATAAAAGTTAAGCATCAAAATCAACTAGTGGAAGAAAACTAAAATAGGAAACAGAAATAAGAATATGGTCAGAGGGCAAAGATAAGACACAGTGGCCTACCTAAAAGGAGGTTAAGAATACAGATGTTAGAATCATACTGCCTGGGTTTGAATCTTAGTTCTACTCTTTACTAGCTTTGTGACCTTGGTTGGGCAAATTACTTATGTTCATTAGTTTCTTCATCTGTAAAAGAGGGATAACAATAGTACCTACATCATAAGGTGGCTATGATGAGTAAACAATGTAACATCTCTAGTATTATTATAAAATAAAGAACTATCATAAAAGAACCATACGTTTTTGAATGTCAGAAATGATTTTCAAGATAAACAAAATAAAAGATGGGCTAAATAGTAAAATGTTCAAAAATGAAAAGCAAGTATTTTGAGAACTGATGTCATAGTAGGAGACACTAACCTTTTTTTTCCCCTCTGCCCCATACAAAGAAATAGATAGCTATCCATGAAGGAAAACATCCCTGAGAAGGCTTGAGTACATTGAAGATCATACACAGCAACACCATGAATCAAAAAAAAGGAGAATAACCAGGCAGAAACGACTGCTAGGGAGTTAGGTTTAGCTGAGATATCTGCAGACATGTAGAAACAAAGAAGAGAGAACGCTATCAGGACCAGCCATTGTGGTAAGTGCCATCGCAGCCCCCAGTGGTCTTTGCTGTGAAGGTCCTGGGTAGGCTTTGCCACTGAGGACCTAAACAGCCCCCATGACAGCCACAGATTCCCTGCAGCTTTAACAAAGGAGAACCCGGTAGTGTTCACTGCAGTACAGCCAAGACATGGAAACAAACTAAGTGTCCATTGATAAATGAATAATGAAAATGTGGTGTACACACACACACACACACACACACACACAGGAATATTATTCTACCATAAAAAAGGAGCCCTGGCTTGTTAGAGCATCAGCTCTTGGACCTAAAAGTCATGGGTTAGATTCCCAGTCATGGGCAAGTGCCCCCGTTGCCGGGTTGTGTCTCTTTCACACCTCCCTCTCCCACGCCCCCCCCCCCCTTTCCCCCTCCTACTCCATCTAGAAATCTATGGAAAAAAATGTCCTTGGGTGAGGATTAAAAAAAGAAGAGAAGAAATTCTGCCATTTGTGAAAACAAGGATGAACCTTGGAGGCATTATGCTAAGTGAAATAAGTTAGATAGAGAATGACAAATACTGTATTTGTGGAATTTAAAAAAACAAACTCAGACACAGAGAACAGACTGGTGGTTGCCAGAGGTGGGAGTGGGCAGTAGGTGAAATGGGTAAAGATGATCAAAAGATACAAACTTTCAATTATATGATAAATAAGCCCTGGGGATGTAATGTACAGTATTGGAGACCACAGTTAACAACACAGCATTATATGTTTGAAAGTTGCTGAGAGATCTTAAAGGTTCTCATCAAAAGAAGAAAAACAATTTGTAACTAGGTGTGGTGATTGATGTTAACTTGTGGTAATCATTCTGCAATATATACATATATATAATCATCATGCTGCATGCCTAAAACTAATGTATTGTTATATTTTTATTATATCTCAGTAAAAAAAGACAAAACCAGAAAAAAAAAGTTTATAACTGGGTAGAAAAAACAATCTAAAACACACATAAAAAGGCACCTGGATTGACCATACAACCAACTACTCTCTTCTATTGCAGAAAACCAGCAATTTTCAACCAGTGTGCTACAATAATTTTTAAAACATGCAATACCTGACTACTTAGTCAGGAGCTCTGACCTCTTTTCCCTTCAACTTCCAAAAAAAAAAAAGGGGACAACAGCCAACACAAAAGAAGTGGTCCAGTGTAAATGAATCAAAATTATACTTTTTTTGTTGTTAAATTGGCAAAAAATATATATTTTTTTGGTGTGCCACATAATTTTAATTAGTTTGTGTACCATGAGATGAAAAAGGTTGAAAATCACTGCAGTGAACAACTGAAATATGAATGTATTTATCAATCTTGAGTTATACCTTCTTGCTGAGCAATTTTGGCTTGGCTTTTATTCTCAGCTCTGGTCCATCTACATGGAAACCCACTACAGCCATGCATTTTATTCTGTCTTCTTCATGCAGTTCTCTAAAACCTGGAATTAATTATTAAGAAGCTTTCTCTAATATTCCATCCTTCCTTCCCCAGTCCATTTTAATTTGTACTTTGAAAACACCATGCTGAAACCTCTACTCTAATTCACCTCACAATGTAATATCTTAGTGATTTTTGTATCCATGGAGGTTTATCATAGAATTTCTGGCACTTCATTCATGAGGCTCAAGTAATGTTTAGTTAATTCTGCTTTTTGGCACACTAGTAATGAGTAACTAGTAACACTGACTTAATATTTTGTCTTCTATTCCCTTCTTCATTAAAGTCAAGCAATTGTATACACAAAACCAGTCTTCAATTTTAACATGTCCAATGTACATATTTAAAAAAGCATTTAACATAGACAACAATGCTGGGGATGGGGTGGGGGTGGGGGTAGAGTATTGGGAGGAGGGTGTCAATGGGGGAAAATGGAGACACATCTGTAATAAAAATTTAAATTAAATTAAATTTAAAAAATTTTTTAAATAGCTGGGGGAGTGTTATAGATGAAACAAGACAGGCCATAAATTGATACCTGTTTAAGTTGGGTGATGTATACACAAAGGTTCATTATAGTATTAGCTCTACTTCTGTGAATGTTTGAAATTTTCCATGATACTGTATGTATACAGTTTCTATACACACACATGATTTACATAATTATATACACAAATAACAATATATATGTAAACATCATTATGGAAAATTTCACACACACATTCATTTTCATACAATACAAATTATAGTTTTCTCCAAATAAAACTAGGTAAACTGAGAAATGATATACTTGAAGATTAGGAGTCATCAATAAAACTAAAACACAAGTGGTAACATAACAGCTATCTTAAAATAGTCTGAGAACATTATCAGATTTTACATTTATCTCTTTTATTAATATTGTCAGAGCAACTTGCAGTATTTTAACTTCAATAAAATGATTTGTTTCGAAACAAGTGTGACAAAAAGACGGTAAGTGTGAGGTTGATTGCAGTCTTCTCTACTTATGGTTTGACATTTTCATAATAGTTTTTAAAAAATGGCCCTGGCCAGTTTGGCTCAGTGTTTAGAGCATCGGCCTGCAGTCCAGAGAGACCCGGGTTCGGTTCCTACTAAGGGCACGTTTCTCGGTTACAGTTTGTTCCCGGCTCTGGTTGGTTGTGCGGGTGGCAGCCACTCGATGTGTCCCTTTCACATCGATTTTTCTCTCTCTCTCTTCCTCTCTCCCTCCCACTGTCTGAACAAAAAAATGGAAAAATGTCTTCGGGTGAGGATAAAAAATAAATAAATAAATGCCTCATCCTGGCCAGCATTTCTCAGTGGTTAAGAGTGTCGGCTGATGCACTAGAGGGTCCCAGGTTCAATACTTGGCCTCAGTCGGGGCATGTGCAGGAAGCAACCAGTCGAAGGTTCTCTCTCACACTGATATTTCCCTCTCTCCTCCTCCCCTGCTCCCTTCCACACTCTCTCGAAAAATCAATGGAAAAAATATCCTCAGGTAAGAATCAACAAACAAAAAAAAGTGTTTCTTCCAAATTCTCTCCACCCAATCCCTAGAGCCACACTGCAATTACAATAATATTGGAAAATGATTTATAAAGACAGACAAAAATCATTCTCATGTAGAGGTTTTTCATTTTCTGAAAGAGGCATATAAATACGAAAAGCAAATTAATTGTTTGAAGATGTTAGGAGAAACTGATGATGAAAGAGTAAAATGTGATTTTTAAAAATCTGATCAAGAAAGAAAAAATAGCCATATTACAAATTGAAAGAGGTCTTGGAGACCCACCTTTTCAAGAAAGCTAAGATACATAAATTGTTTTCTTCTCAAACATATTTTAACAAGACCTGAAGTGTCCTTTGGCTAGGTAAAGACACTGCATTTTTACCTGCCTTTC